TAGTAGTAGTAGTAGTAGTAGTAGCAGTAGTAGTAGTAGTAGTAGTAGTAGTAGTAGTAGTAGTAGTAGATAGTAGTAGTAGTAGTAGTAGTAGTAGTAGTAGTAGTAGTAGTAGTAGTAGTAGCAGTAGTAGCATTAGTAGTAGTAGTAGTAGTAGTAGTAGTCGTAGTAGTAGTAGTAGTAGTAGTAGTCGTAGTAGTAGTAGTAGTAGTAGTAGTAGTAGTAGTAGTAGTAGTAGTAGTAGTAGTAGTAGTGGTAGTAGTAGTAGTAGTGGTAAGAAGAAGAAGAATAGTAGTAGTAGTAGTAGTAGTAGTAGCAGTAGTCGTAGTAGTGGTAAGAATAGTAGTAGTAAGAGTAGTAATAGTAGTAGTAGGAGGAGGAGTAGTAGTAGTAGTAGTAGTAGTGGCAGTAGTAGTAGTAGTAGTAGTAGTAGTAGTAGTAGTAGTAGTAGTGGTAGTGGTAGTGGTAGTAGTATGGCTACGTTTATTCATACAAGTATGGTTTGGTAGTGGTATTGGTATGGTTTGTGTTAGTCGTCCTAGTAGTGGTCGCTGTATCAGTAGTCGTCTTCTTAGTTGTCTTACTATTGGTATTACTAGTAGTCGTAGTAGACGTCTGCGTATTCTTATTATTCGTCTTCTTAGTGTTCATACTTTGATGCTAATACTAACAAGATGAATCGCCTTCGTCGTGTTATTACTAATCGTATGAGTATTCGCCGTCTTGTTATATGTTTTGTTCTTGGTGTTAGTAATATTCGTCGTGTTATGAGTATGATGCCGAGTGGTCCTCGTATTAGTCTTAGTAGTATTCGTCGTCTTCTTAGTTTGCATAGTGATATTCGCCGTCTTACTATTAGTGTTCGTATTCGTCGTCTTCTTCTTTGTCCTAGGATTCGCATTCGTGTTCGCATGCGTCGCATGATGGTGATGATTGTTCGTCGTCTTCTTTATATTCCTATTATTATTCTCAGTAATCGTAGTATTCGGATTCGTGTTTTTCGTACTCTTCTTATGAATATGATTCGTATTAGTCTCCTCCGTCTTCTTAGTGCTCTTAGCATTCGTAGTGGTATTATTCGTTATATCATCATTATTCTTAGTAGTGTTATTATTACAGTCCGCCTTTGTGTTACCATTAATATGATTGTCCTCCTCATCATCATCATCATCATCATCATCATCATCATCATCATCATCCTCCTCTACTGGGTGGAGGTATCCGAACCTCACCCCCCACCAACCATCGGTTCTCCTGAATCGATGGCAGGCGGGGGTGCGGTTCGGTTTTCGCCACGTGTTCAACCCCCACCCCCGCCAAGCCCTCGAGCGCCCGAATCGCGGATCGGCCAGGGCAGGGTTCGGGCTTCGCCGTCGATCCATCCCGAGCGATCTCGTTGAGGGCCCTGGGAGCCTGACAACGACACAAACCTCGAGACCCGTTTCTAGGGTTCTAGGGGAACAAAAAGTGACATAAACGTAAAAACTCTGAGGTCCGCGCGCATTTCTCGGATCAGCGTTGGGGCCCACCGGCACCGGCGGCGCCTCCGGCGCCGCCCCTGGCGCGATCCGCGCGCCAGGGAGGGGGTCCAGCGCCGATCCGAGAAATCCGCGCGGACCTCCGAGTTTTTATGTTTATGACACTTTTTGTTCCCCTAGTTTCCCCTCAGGACCCTCCGCTGGGGGAAAACGGAAAAAGCGATCCCGCTGCTCCCCGAAACCCTCCCGGGCAGGGTGCCTTCGGAAGACAGACTCCCGAGGAGACTCCCGCCGTGGCGAGGAGAGCTCTGCAGGACGAGCAGCGGCATCGGCAGCTTCCCAGACGTGCGACGTCTTGATTCCTCCCGTGCAGTGGCCCCTTGAAGCCCTCGTCCTCCTCCTCCTCCTTTTCCTCCTCCTCTTCCTCCTCCGCCTCCTCCTCCTCCTCCTCCTTCTCCTCCTCCTCGCCAGGGGTGGCAGCAGCGTCAGGAGCAACAGCCCCCGTGGCAGCCTGCGTACCAGCCCGCAGCCCCGGAGGCCGACGGCTGCCCAAAAAACTTCCGTCGTCGTCACGGCCGGGAGCGTCCGCTGCTGGTCTCGCGGCGGCGGCCCCGGCGGCACGCTGTGCCGTGCGCGATCGTGCCGCTCCCCGTGGCGGGAGGCCCGGAAAGGCTCGGGCCGCTGACGCCGGGGAACTGGCCATCGCTCGGACGTCCATTCCCCATGCATTTGTCGGTTTCGAGCGTGTTTTTTTTTTGCTCGATGGTCCAGGAACCAGGGGAGGAGTGCCTCCTCCTCCTCCTCCTCCTCCTCCTCCTCCTCCTCCTCCTCCTCCTCCTCCTCCTCCTCTCCTCCCTCCTCCTCCTCCTCCTCCTCCTCCTCCTCCTCCTCCCTCCTCCTCCTCCTCCTCCTCCTCCTCCTCCTCCTCCTCCTCCTCCTCCTCCTCCTCCTCCTCCTCCTCCGGGGAACCAGGGGAGGAGTGCTCGCGCGTCGCGCCCAAAGGCGTGGTGGGCCAGAAGCGGCGGAGCGGCACACGCCCGGCCCAAAAGCTCCGCACTCCGCATGGCTCCCACCGCGCGGGACCGCCCGGGGAGGTTTTGGAGGCAGCCGGGGGGTCCGAGCTGGACGGGCCCCGGGAGGATCGGTCAAGATTCAAGGGGCCCAAGGACACACACACACACACAACACACACACAAAAAAAAACGGCAAAGCAACCTAACAGCGATGTGTAGAAGCATATCTGAAAGCATTCCCCTTAAGATTCAGATGAAAATCCAGTTGTCGAATTCTGCTGTTCTCGCAGTCGTAGTCGCATTCGCGATGACAGTCGCAGCGGCAACGGCAGTCGCAGTCACAGCCTCAGCCTCAGCCTGCCTCAGCCTCAGCCTCAGCCTGCCTCAGCCTCAGCCTGCCTCAGCCTCAGCCTCAGCCTGCTTCAGCCTCAGCCTCAGTCTGCCTTCAGCCTCGGCCTCAGCCTCAGCCTGCCTCAGCCTCAGCCTGCATCAGCCTCAGCCTCAGCCTCAGCCTGCCTCAGCATCAGCCTGCTTCAGCCTCAGCCTCAGCCTGCCTCAGCCTCAGCCTCAGTCTGCTTCAGCCTCAGCCTCAGTCTGCCTTCAGCCTCGGCCTCAGCCTCAGCCTGCCTCAGCCTCAGCCTGCCTCGGCCGCAGCATCAGCCTGCCTCAGCATTCAAAATGTGGCCCAGGAATGGAGTTCTGGGAACTAGAAGAACACGAAGTGGCCTACAGTTGGCTCCGGGCATTCAAAATCATGCCCAGGAATGGAGTTCTGGGAACTTCTCGAAGCATTCAAAAGCCCCCGCACGAAGTGGCCTACAGTTGGCTCCGGGCATTCAAAATGTGCCCGGGAATGGAGTTCTGGGAACTTGAAGAGCACGAAGTGGCCTACAGTTGGCTCCGGGCATCCAAAATGTGGCCCGGGAATGGAGTTCTGGGAAATCGAAGAGCACGAAGTGGCCTACAGTTGGCTCCGAGCATCCAAAATGTGGCCCGGGAATGGAGTTCTGGGAAGTCGAAGAGCACGAAGTGGCCTACAGTTGGCTCCGGGCATCCAAAATGTGGCCCAGGAATGGAGTTCTGGGAGCACCAAGAGCGATTTTGCGAGGATGACCCACGCGATTTCGGCTTCGACGGCAGCCTCCCCGGGTCCCGCCCAGACCCCCCTGAGGAGTCATGATGCTCTCTTTTGAGACCACTAGAAACCTATCAGCAAGAGCTGTTAGGTAATAAATGCACACAAATAACGAGATCCCCCATATGTTCCATATTTTCTGGGTTTTCGTCTCCCCCCCCCCACGTCCCATATTTTCCTATACATTTTTGGGGGAATCGAGGATTCATGGTGTCTGTGCTTTTTTCCCTCCTGAAAGATGACGGGGGTGAATGCAAGTTCGCTCAAAATCGGTCCCCGGGCCCCTCCCGAGGTCCGCAGCTGCAGTGTCTCACCCCCGATCTGCTCTGGACGGCCCCGGGTACGAAAACGGCCTCAGGATGCAACAACAACGCCTTCCCGAGCCCCATACGGTCGGGGCGTTGACCTAAGGAACCCTAGATAAGGAACGAGGCCCCTTTTTTCCAAAAGGTAAACTTCGATGTCCCATGAAAAAACCTCAGGGAAACCCTGGGCAGACTGTGAAACAATCAAGGAACACCAAGCCCCTCCCCATTGAAAAGGGTTCCTTCTTCAGCGCCCCGACTGTATAACCTCGAACTTCTCCCTCCCTCCCTGCTTGCTGGAACCAGTGCATGGGCCGTCTCGGACCCCCAGCCGGCTCCAATGGGAGAGCCTCTTCCGCCTCAAAACGGCGACGCGCGGCCAGTGCTGGAGAGCCACCGCGACCGTATCGTTTCACGACGCAGGCACGTCACGTCTGGGGGGACACTCTTCTGCTTCAAATTGGCGCGCCCGAAATGGGTACGGAAAGCATGGGTACGATGCCCAACAAGAAATGCTGCCCAAACTGGCAGCAGCTGATGTTGGGCAGGCGACCTTCTAACCCAGATGGACGATGCCCGCGGCGGCACCGACAGCGAGTCCTGTTCAAGATAGGCAAGAATTGCTGCCAATTGTCGTCCCCATTGCTTCCGTAACCCCATTCCGATTGTCTCGCTTCAGAGTCGACGAGATTGGGGAACCAAAAACAAGCACCGACGCCGCTACTCCCTGGCCCTCTCCTGGGGCGCGTTCTGACCAGAAGTTCGAGGCGAGTGCAGCCGTGGCGACGATGGCCTCCCAGGAGGCCCAACAAGGCGAAATCGAATAGAGTGCACAGCCAGAACTAGGACAGAAGAACATCCTTCAAGAACATGAGACCCTCCACCAGCCCAAACTGAAGAACACTCGAGGGTACCCTCCCCCAGGATGCTCAAGAGCATCCAACAAACACGAAGACCACTAGGGCACCCTCCCCGAACCGACCTCGATCTTCGGCGATCTACCGACCCCAGGTCAACCCAAACCCGGGACAGTCAGGCCTTGCAGGATCCCGCAAGATCCTGCAGAATCCTACAAGATCCTGCACGCACACCCGGGTCAGTGCACCCCTGGCCCTGCAGGATCCAGCAAGATCTGGCGCTCTGGCTGGCCCCCGCTGGCACTGACCCCCGTCCCCTGAGCCCCGAGATCTCATGCCTCGGTCCGACCGTGTCAGCACCTTCCCTGAGATCCGACATTGCAAAAAAAATTGCAACATCGCAAAAAATCACGACCGGAGCCCCGGGCACCATGTTCCTGCCTCATTTTTCGAGCCGCATCGATCTGCGAGGATCCCGGGGCCCGCAACGGGGCGAAAACGCCCGTTGTGAAAGAATTGCAGCGCCAGGGTCTCAGGCTCCTCCTCCTCCGACTCCCACGGCGGCGCCAAGAGAGACGGGTGCCGGCGCCCGCCTCGGCGCCGGCGCCCGGCGCGCGGTGGGACAGCACGCACCAGACTGGCCCGTCGGAGGCGGCCAGCGCGGGCGTCTCCTGCAAGGCGGGCGCCGCGGCGGAGCGCGGCGCCCTGGCGCAGTGCGGCAAGCCTCGCCACCGCTCGGACGCCCACGCCCCGTGCATGCGTCGGCGTTTCGTGCGCGGTGTGTTTTTTTTCCGCGGCGCGGTCCCCGCCTTCCGCAGAGGCCTGTGGCCTGAGGCAGGGGCTCAGCACCTGCGCGAGGCGCGAGGCGCTGCGGTGGGCAGCGTCTTCCGCAGGTCGGGCGATCTCTGGGCGAGCAGGTCGTCAGCGGAGGGGGAGGTGCCGATGCCGAGACGTGCTCGCGTCGTGAGCAGATAACGACGACGGCAGGTGTTTGGTCATGCTCGGCCTCTGGGGGCCCTCGTCCAGGCCGTCGAGGCCGTCGAAAACATCGGCTCGGGATGGAAAACCGGCCCAGGGCAACGTCCCCCAGGTCAGGCGATCTCTGGGCGAGCAGCTCGTCAGAAGAGGAAGATGGGCCTGAAATCAAACGGCACCACCCCACCTTCGACCCAGTGATGCTGGCAGTTCAGGCACTTGCCCTGTGCAGTCTCGGCGTGTTGTCACGGAGACCGAGGCATCTAAACGAGTGCGCGGCAAGGACGCAACAATTCAACACAGCGGATCGTAGGTGGGTTGGTGTCGTTCGGTTACTGGTCGAGAAAAGGTGCCGGCACTGCTGCTCATCCTGGAGAGCTCTCGTCGCCACGGCTGGATCCTCTTCGAAGTCCGAAGCAGAACGGACTCTGGGAGAGGTATGGGGAGTAGCTCGGCGGCGAGCCCAGGAGGGAAGTGAGAAGGAGAAGGCCTCCTCAGAAGGCTCGGAAGTCCCCCTGCCTTCTGAGAGGGTTTTTTGTAAGCCTTCCCCGAAGGCACCAGAAGCTTCTCAGCAGGCGCGGGGGCTTCTGAGAAGTCCCGCCGCCTTCTGAGAACAGAAGGCCTTCTCCTTCTCAATTTGCCCCCCTCGCCCGCCGCCGAGTAGCGGTATCGGTACCCTTCTGTCCCCTCAACTCGGGGTCAAAGACGTGTCTGGTCGGCGCTCGGGTCGGTCGCGTCCTTTCGGGTGATGCTCGGGAGGCTGGAACATCGACTCGACCTGGCTCGTTGCGGCCCCCGGGCGGCCGTTCCACGGCCGATTGGTCAGGCAGCACGACCTCGAACCTGCGGCAGCGCTTGTTTTGCAGGCTCGCCGTGTAAGCCATCTGTGGGCTTTCTGCGGCCACGTCGCCTCCGACCGGCATGCAGACCGACCGACCGACCGGCAGCCAAGGCGGGCCCCCTCGGGCCTCATCCTCTTGACTTCTTCCCAACTTCCTCCTCTTCATGATTCTCATCCCTCCTCCTATTCGTCACCACCACCGTCGTCGTCGAGGCTGCCATGGCATGACACAGTCGAGACATCGCAACGCAGGTGCACGCATCTTGTGAGTGGCGCTGGGCAGCGTTTACAGTAGGAGCTCGACCGCAAGAAACCTTCCACAAGAAACTCAACCCCGAGACCCCAGCACGTCCATTGTTTTTCGGTGCGGGAACGTCACACTTTCCATCGCAAAACCATCGAAACCCAATAAACCCAGGGGCACCCTGGAGGCAAGCGGGGTGTTTTTTGGCATATGGGCTTCCACTGCGCGAACTCAACGTTGGGTCTGCGACAACGCTCTCGTCGATA